AGCGACATTTAGGAAGTGGGCTTGACAGGACTTGGGGACTAATCAGAGCGAGGCTAAGGGAGACCCCCAGAGGAGCAGATTATGTTGTGCATTTATGAGGTGTCTGGTGCCTGGAGCAGGGGGACATCCATGGTGGAGTCCCTCGCTCAGTCCCTCAGCAGGTCATCTCCTCAGCAGCTAGTATGTGTGAGGCAGGGTCTTGCTGTGTGAGATACAGCTGGGATCTAAGAGACCCTTAGATTCCCCGGACTCCCCTGTGAAGAGACAACAACATGAGAAAGGAGTCTGTTCTGCATTGACGCAGAGGGGAAAGCGCTCTGTGGAGAAGAGAAGAGTGAGGAGGTGGTTTCAAACAGGGAGGGTCAGGAAGGACCTGGCTGAGAAGGTGCTGTTTGAGCAAAGACTCAGAGAGGGGGGCGAAGCAGTAAGCCCGGAGGATGGCTGAGGGAGGGGGATTGGGGAAGGGATGCCTCCTGCAAAGGCCCTGGGGGCTGGAATGGGCCTGCCTGTGGGGCCTGTGGGTATGAGGAGCAACAGGGAGGCTGGAGTGGCCAGGCTGATGGAGTGAGAGGGAGCTGGTCTTGGAGGGCCCTGTAGCCACAGTGGGGTCTTGGCCTCTGACTCAGAGCAGCCTGAGGGCCGCTGCAGAGGAGTGGTGTGGACTGAGTTTTCATGGGTCCCTGTGGCCGGTGTGCTGGGAGTAGACTGGAGGGGATGCAAGTGGAAGCAGAGACCTGTCCGGGGGCTGTTGCACCATCAGGTGGGATGTGCTGGTGGCTTGGATCAGGGTAGCAGTGAAGGAGGTGAAAAGCGGTCAGACTCCAGTTTTATTTTGAAAGTTGAACCAACAGGATTTCCTGACAATGGGTGGATGGGAGAGAAAGAGGAGTCAAGGATGACTCCGAGGTTTTTGGCCTGGGGAATGGGAAGGATGCAGCTGTCATCAGCCATGGGTGGAGCAGAGTTCAGTGTTGTCACATGGAGTTTGAAATGTGCAAGTGGGGCCCCAGCCCTTGGGGGGTGCTGTGGGCTTTGATGTCTATCATTTGTGGCCAGGTGGGTGGTGTAAGCCAGTGGGGAGGGCAGGGGAGGCCAAGCTGTGGCTACACCAGCTAGGGTGATGAAGGGCCCAGGCCCGTGGTGCAGTGGGCCTCTCAAGGACCACATCGGGAACCCCGTGGCTTTGGGGCTTCCTGACCTCAGTCCCGAGCCAACCTCTGCTTTGGCTCAGGACCTGTAGGAAACAGACCCCTTAGTAGAGCCCCTATCACAGGCAGCTTTGGGCATGTGTTTGGGAAATCAAAGTCATAGTGTCTGCTTCGAATGTGAAAACCGGAGATCTCTAGTTGTTGGAGGGAGAAAAAACACAAAATATCTTCCTCGATCCCATCCGAAAGCCAGGGAAGGAACAAGGGGAAAGAGAAGGGTGAGGACAGATGGGGAGAGAGAGAGGTGTTGCCTTTCTTGGTGGGGCCTATGTCTTGGCAGAGGGTGCAGACAGGGCCTGGGTCACTGGGAGGAGTTGGCAGGGCTGCTGACATGTAGCCCTGTTCCCCAGAGGAAGAAACAGGCTCGGAAGTTCCCCTAGAGGTTTGGGGAACAGTCAGTAACCAAAGCAAGGACCCCACTTCTCCCCATCACCAAGGTGAGCCACCCACGGGCCCAGGAGGTACAGCCTGCAGCTGAGGGCAGGCTGTTTGCCGTTTTCTCGAGAGTCTTCACCTCCTGGGGCCGGCCTGCCCATCTGTGACTGCGGTGTGTGGGGTGGGGACCCGCTGGGAGCAATCTGACGGCTGGGGGAGCTCTAGCCTGCCTTGGCTCCCGGTACTTCCATGCCCTCGTTTCTTCACCATTTCTTTGTTTATACCTTGCCTTTGCCTAAAGAGGATTTCCAAAATGACTGAAAATAAGTGGGAAAGTAACAGTATGGGATGATAAAAGCTAGCCTTGTGTGAGGGCACCTGCAGTGTCGGGCTCTGCTGTTAGCCCTTCCCCCGATTTAACTCAGTCCTCACTGTGACCCTGTGAGGTGAACAACACGGTTATCCCCGGCCTACAGATGAGGCAGTTGAGGCACAGAGGGATTAAGTGACTTGTCTAAAGTTACACAGTGAGAGATAATTCTGTGAATCAAACCCCTGGACTGGCCTGGATGCTCCAGGCTGGAAAGGTAGGGGCTGGAGCCCGAGGCCCGGCTTCAATCCTGTGTGCTTTGCAGCTTCACAGTTACTCTCGCAAGTGGCTTTGCCTCTCTGAGCCACCTGGAAGGTGGGGAAGGTGTTAGTACCCACTTCTTAGGACTCTTCGGGGCCTTGCCCATCATGGCACCCGTGACACGTGCCCTGATTGTCATCCCTGCAGGCGCTTTGCCCTGTCCACCAAGATTCCCGACACCAAAGGCTGCCTGCAGTGTCGTGTGGGTAAGAGCTGGGCAGGGCGGGCCAGGGTGGGGAGGGGAAGGGTGGGGTGGGTGTGGGCACAGCTCGAAGCCTACCGCCTGCCTCTCTCACAGTGCGGAACCCTCACACCGGCAGCACTTTCCTGTTGGCCGCGCTGCCTGCCAGCCTGCTCCTGCTGCAGTGGTATGAGCCGCTGCAGAAGTTTCTGCTGCTGAAGGTGCGGTGCGGGTCGGGGGGTCCCTCAGGTGGGTGGTTGGGAGCCTGAGGGGAGAAATAGAGACCTGAGCAACCCTCCTGCCCCCAGAACTTCTCCAGCCCTTTGCCTAGCCCAGCAGGGATGCTGGAGCCACTGGTGCTGGACGGGAAGGAGCTACCGCAAGTGTGCGTGGGGGCCGAGAGTCCTGAGGGGCCCGGCTGCCGCGTCCTGTTCCATGTCCTGCCCCTGGAGGCCGGCCTGACGCCAGATGTCCTCATACCACCTGGTGAGCTGGAGGGCCAGGCTGGGGGGGTGTGTGTGTGTGTTAGTTATATATAGAGGGAAGATATGGAGACCTTGGGGACCTGAAGCTCCCAGCCTCCCTTTAGCTGGGTCTCTCCGTAAAGGATTTCATTAGACCTAAGTGCTCAGCAGCTAAGAAAACCTGACCAGCAATGCAGGGGCTATAGGGACAGAGCCAAACTGGGGAAGGTGGGCACCAGAGGCCTCCATTCTGAGCAAGGAAGCAGGACACTGGGTGCTGGGACAGCTCAGGGGAGTGGAGTGTGTGGCAGTGGGTTAAGGAGAGGGCAGGTGCCCTGGACCAAGGCCCTGCGGCAGCCCAGACCCCAAGCCAGGGGTCTCATGGGATTTCCTTCTTGATCCTCAGAATGGCCTGCAAGGTAGGCATCCTGGGTTACAAATGAAACTGAGGCTCAGAGATTCGAGGTCACACAGTGACAGAGTCAGGAAGCCTGGCTCTTCTGACTCCGGAGCCCCTGCCCTCCCATGGCTCCCCAGACCTCACCCCTGCTCCCTGTGAGCCTCAGTGCCCCAGCTGTGCAGTGAGATTAGGTATCCTGACCCCATTGGGCTGTCATGAGATGCGCTTGTGGTGATGACTGGTTGTACCACACCCCTGATGTCTTCTTCTTGGAGCCAAGTGGGGCTGGTGGCTCAACCAGGCCATGTGTCCCTTCTCTGCCTGCAGAGGGGCTCCCAGGCTCAGCCCAGCAGGTGATCCAGGTGGACAGGGACATAGTCCTAGTCTGCTTTGACCGTGAGTGTTCTGGGATCAGGGCTGGGGTAGCAGAAGTGGGTGGTAAGGGAAGCCAGGTGAGTCTGCCTCCCCGGAAGGGAGCCACCACATCCCCACCCACCAGACCTCCCACTATGCAGGCTGCGTGAGGATTGTTAACCTGCTGGGCGAGCCCACGGCCACACTGGCGCCTGTGTTGACCTTTGAGTTCCCCATTGAGACTGTGGGTAAGTGAACCAGGCCGAGGTGGGGGGGGGGAGTATCCCTGGCCTGGAGCGCATGATGTGGCCCTGGAGCCAGCAGTGGGACACGGAGACAGGTCCCCCAGCCCCTCTCGATCCGTGAGGACCTCTGTGGCCTAGACCTGGGGCCAGGGTGAAGCTGGAGGAGCCAGTGTCCTCAGGGCAGGCGCAGGGCTGATGGTAGCCTGGCCCCTCCTAGTGTGTCTGCAGGACAGCGTGCTGGCTTTCTGGAGACATGGGATGCAAGGCCGCAGCCTAGACACCAACGAGGTGAGTGGGACTCAGGAACCAGGTGGCCCCCCATCCAGTTGTCCCCACCTTTTAGGAGAGGATGCTCTGGGGTGGCCTTAGCACCCCTTTTCTTCCCAGGTGACCCAGGAGATCACAGACAAGACGAGGATCTTCCGGGTGCTTGGGGCCCACAGGTAGGATGTAGTGCCCTGGCCTCCCCTTCAAATGCCCCCAAGGCCAGATGGACGTGCCCAAGTGTCTTCCCGCCTGGCTCACCTCCACTTCTCTCTCCCCTGCAGAGACATCATCCTTGAGAGCGTTCCCACCGACAAACCAGGGGCTCACAGCAACCTCTACATTCTCATGGGCCATCAGAGCAGTTACTGAGCGAGTGGGCCGGCCTGGCCAGTGGTGCCCCCCGCCTGCCCTGTGCCTTAGCGGCAGTTCTTTTAGGCAGAGGGGCCCCTCCCAGATCAGAGGAGCCAGGTGCCCCACCGGCTCTGCTGGTCTAAAGGGCAGAAATACTCCTGAGAAGAGTTTTGGGGCTGGGGAGGGGTGGGAAGCCTATCCCACACCTCTGTGATTGCACCAGAGGAAGCTGCTGTCCCCTCCCCTCCCCTGCGGGCAGCCCAGTCCCCAGTGCCCTGTGACAGGGGCCCTGGGCAGGGATGGGGTGGGTCCCGGGCTATCCATTCCATTTTGTTCCACATTTCCTTTCCACCCTTCCTGCCAAGAGCCTGCCCCTGCGCTCTGTCCTGGGGAACATAGTATTTAAGAGAGACTATATTGGTATTAAAGCTGGTTTGATTTTACACTGCTGGTCCCTCTGGGTCTGAAGGAGCTGAACCCACTGCCCCTTCTCCCTCCATCTCTCCCTCCAGCATGTGGTTCTGTGGCACCAGGTGCTATGGATATACTATGGAAGGAGGGTGCTCACCAGTGTTCTGGTGGCAGAGGTGATGGGGAGGCCTGTGTCTTCCTGGGCTTTGCTGCTCAGAATGAGCCCTCAGCTTTGCAGTCTGAGGCCTCTTTTGTGGCCAAGGAGTCATGTGGTGGTGGTAGGGGGAGCAGAACAAAGGGATTCATCCAGGGCATCCCTGCCCCATATAGGATCTCACCAGGTGGCCGATGGAAGGGCCTAGGAGGGGCTGGCCAAGGGCTGCTCCACCCAGCCCCAGGGAAGCTGCAGCTTTTGGAGACAGCCTGCCACAACCTGTGTCCCCCTATCCAGGCCTGGGGCTGCCTCCCTGCCTCCTACCTGCTGCCTAGGTATCAGTTGCTATCTCAGGCTAGGACTGCGGAACGTGGGTGTGATCAGACTAGACTCTGAAAAGACTAGCTGCCTATGTCTGTTTAACAAGGATTCCCAGAGGGCTTCCTCAGAGCCAACCACTGGGCTCACAGAGAGGTCCCTACCAAGATGTAGATCAGCCCCCAGCGAGGGGGGCGGGCCTTCTTGTTGGAGCCTGCATCTCGAGAGCACATCCACTCATCCACTGCTAGCCTGGTGCTTGGCATTGTCATCTTCCCACGGTTCCCTCTTAGAGGGCTGTGTACCCCGAGTCCAGGGAGCCCCTTGCTGCCCCAGGCACTGGCCAGGCTGTTCTTGACCAGATTCTTTGGGCAGGTGAGGCCAAGGAGGCACAATGGCAGCTGGCCTTAAAGGAAGAGTCAGCTGCACAGGCAGGACCAGGGCTGCAGAGGGAGGGAAGGCCCTGGGTCTGGGTGAGGAGCTTGAGCAAAGGCCCAGGGTCAGGTCTCCTGTTTGGCCTCATTAACCTCCCTTCTAATATTCAAGGCAAGTGTTTTAAGACTCTACACCTGGTGGGCCTTTGACAAATATTTGTTAAATGAATGAAACGATGAGTGGGTGGGCAGTGGGTAGATGGCAGCCCAGTCCCTAGCACTCCTGGCAGGGATCCCTGGGCCATCTCATGGTTGTCATGTTGTCCACCCTCCAGCAGGGCCCTGACACTTAGTGACAGGGGGTGGTTTCTCAGCTGAAACAGGGAGTCAGATCAGGAGTAGAGACACAGCTCCTGTGCACTGGGCACTCACCCCCGTGTTCTCCATGAGACCCAAAGGGAGATAAGAGGAACTTCCAAGTTGGAATGGTTTGTCTGCTCCCACCTAGTGGGAATTTGATGGGCCAGATGGGGTTGGCGACAGGGATATGATTCCTAACGTCTATTTTTCCAGACTTCTTGGTGGAGGTGCAGGATTAAGTGAGGAGTGCCAGGAATGGGAAAGTGAACTCCCACTCAGCAGAGACCCTTAACCCTTGACCCCAGGTACTCAGGGAGGATTGACTTTCAGTTCACAGAGCAGCGGAGGGCAGACAGTGCCACCTTGTGGCAGCTTGCCCCAGCACTCTGTAAAGGGAGTCCGGGAGTGGGGTCAGAATGTGTTGCGCCAAAGTGGGGGACCTGGGAAAAGCAGGGGCCTCTGATAAAATATTTGCTGTCAGCAAAGGCTGGCCACCATCCAAAGAAAGGCCAAGAAGCCAGGGAATATACACTGAACAACCAAAATTGTTATTTTATCCATGTGTTTTTTTAATAGGTAGCCCTTGGCCATGATACACACACACACAAAATACAAGATACAGTGAAAAGTCTCCATCCAGGTCCCAGTTACGTATGAACCTCCTGGAAGTATTTATGCATATTTAAGCAGTTCAGTGTGCTTTATTCTTCCTCGTTTCTTACATGCATGGTAACAGATTCCACACTGTTCTAATCTCACCCTTAAATTCAGTTCCGGAGAGCTTTCTATGATCAGTGCCTTCCCCTTTGTTGTTTTATAGCTAGTGGTATTCCACTGTATGGGTTTCTGATAACTAACATTAATTAACTGTCATTAAATCCCTATTGATGGAAATTTCGGTTGTTTCTACTAGTTTGATGTTACAAACAATGTAGTAATAAGTATTCTTATGACAGTGCCACTCTGTACATATTCAAGTGTCCTATAGGCTAAATTCCTGGAAGTGGCATTGCTGGGTCAGAGGTGGCTGTGCTTTTCCTTGTGATAGCTACTGTCATATTGCCTTCCCTGAGCAGCAGCCTCTGGGATGGATCAGATCAGCCTCTCTAAGCCATTCTGTGGATAAGTGGAAGAGGAATGGGCACCCCAGGATGTTGGGGTAGCTGGCCCATGCACTGAGTCAAGTGAGGGTCAAGGTGAGAGGTGAAAACCAGGATGTGCACTTTAGGATAGCAGGGGATTGATTGGCTGTGCCGACTGTGGCGTGTCCAGCACCTGGCCACTGCCTGGTGCACAGAAAGCCCTCAGTCATGGTTTCTAGGTGAAGGAATGAGCGTGTTATGATGGAGCAGAGGAGGCCCTAGAGTTGGGCCCCTGGACTGAGCGAGCTTGCTAAGCTGTGTTCTCCCCAGGTATACCATATCCTAAGTCTAACTGGAGGGTGTTAGGAGGACTGGAAATAGAATACACACGATGCAACAACAGAGATGAATCAGATGTAATGCTGAATGAAAACACCAAATTGCAAAAAATGACATGCAGTATGATCAAAACAAAGCAAAAACAAGCAAAACAAAGCCATCAATTGGTGATATATGCACATGTGATAAAAATTCTATTAGAAGATCAGGGGAAGAAAAAGCACAAAATTCAAAATGATGGTTCCTGTGAGGGGAGTGGGAATGGGGTAAGGAAGGACTGCAGGAATTTGCAAAGGTATTGGTAATATCTTGGTTCTCATGGGTGTTCAATTTATAGCTCAGTTCCTAACTCACATGAAGTTCCACACATCCTTTTGTGTGTATCAAATACTATATTTGTAGGTTTAGCTATGTTAAAATAATCACTCAAAAACCCCTGTAATGGCTTAAAAACAAACAAAAAAGCCAAGATAATCCTTTCCTGGATGATGAAATCAGATGGAGATAAAGAAATCCATGTTTGGTGCCAAACTATGGGCAGAACCCTCTCCGTAGTTGCTTTCTTTTGCTGCTTTTAAAAACACAACTTTATTTGTGCTGAACATTGGAATTTGACACAACACTGTAAAATGATTTTGAATCAATAAAAAATGTAAAAAATAAATAAATAAATAAATAAATAAATAAATAAATAAAGGAAAAAAATCAACCATCTAGACACTACACTAAAAAAAAAAAACCCACAACTTTATTGAGGTATACCAGCATCCAATAAACTGCATACATTAAAAATGTACTACTTGAAAACTTTCACAAATATATATACCCATGAAACCATTATCACAATCAAGATAACGAAATCTCCATCACCCTAAAAGCTTCCTCTTTGTAATCACACCCTCTTGCTCCTCCTTGCTGCCTTATCCCCAAGTAACCACTGATCTGCTTTCTGTCCTATAGATGAATTTGCATTTTTCAGAATTTGTATAAATAGAATCCTACGGTATGTACTCCTTTTTTATCTGGCTTCTTTCACTAAGCATCATTACTTTGAGATTCAGCCATGTTGTTGCATGTATTAAGTCATTCCTTTTATTGCCAAGTAGTATTCCATATGGATGTACCACAGTTTGTTTAGCTGTCACCTGTTGGTACACATCTGGGCTATTTCCAGCTTTGGACTATTACAAATAAAGTTGCTATGAACATTCATGTACATGTTTTTTGTGGATATATACTTTCACTTCTTTTGGGTAAATGCTCTGGAGTGGAAGGGCTGGGTCATATGGTAGGTGTATGGTTATTTGAAGTACTTGGTGCATCACTTTGCTCACTCCATGGTAGACATTATTATTCCTAATTCGGACAATGGAATCATGTGTGGGGCTCTCCAAAGGCTGGACATGTGGGCAAACAGCTATGGATTTGCTCCCTCCAGGCTCAGGCTCAGCTAACTCCATGATACTGCCTTTCAATTCTGCCAGGAGCTTGGGGTTTCTGAACCACCAGACTAGAGCTAAAAGACAGAAAATGCCAAGGATTAGTAGTAAGGGACCAAAACTTCTTACTTTTTACGGTCCAATACCAATTCTCTGACGCCAACTGGATGTTACACAATTTAATTCAATTTTGACATGAACTACCCTGAGTTGGCGAAGACCCCACAGGTTAAGGAATTCAACCGCAAGTCCTGGGTCTCCAGACTACCCATACCTCTGTTCAACTTGGCTACAAATTTGGGGGTTCCCACCGCCACCTTCAGGTTCAATAATTCACCTGAATGACACACGTAACTCAAGAAAGCACTATATTTATAATTACCGTTTTTATTTTAAAGGCTACAAATGAACAGTTAGATGAAGAGATGCACTGGGGAGCAAGGTCCAGAAGAGTCCTGAGCCCAGGAGCTGTGCCCCGACCCATGGAGTCAGGGTGCATCACCCTTCCTGTCACGTTAATATGTTTACCAACTGGAAGCTCTCCAAACCTCATTCAGAGTTCTTTATTGAGGCTCTATTACACAGGCATGGGCGAATCAGTCATTGGTCATGTGACTGAATGCACTCTCTAGCCCTCACCCGTACCCAGAGGTGGGGGGGGTGGAGCTGAAAATTGGTTGGTTTTTCTGGTGACCAGCCACCATTTTGCAGCCCTCTCAAGGCCCCCAGAGCTGGCAACGAGTCACCCTATTAGCTTAGACAGGTATGGTCCAAAGGGGCTCATTATGAATAATGAAAAACACTCCTATCACTTAGGAAATCCCAAGGGTTTTTGAAGCTCTGAGAAAGCTGGGGACAAAGGCCAGCTAACATACTTTTTATTATAGTGCACCCTGGTATAAATTCAGGAGGCATGTGTGTGAAATTTTTGACCCCACAGTTCAGGAGATAGCCCATTAAAACCAACTGTGCCCTCTGATATGACTGAATCAGCACAGCACCCTGTAGGGTGGCAGTAATGTCTGCATGGCCACCCAAAAGAGGCTGAGGCCCAGAGAGATTAAATGACTTCTCCAATGGCTAGCTGGTGGGTGGCTGGCCTGGGTCTGGAGAACTCCCAAGTTGCCTCAAACCTGGGAAGAATTTGCTCAATGGTCCTCAGCCACAAAATGGCATGGCCTATATTTCAATCCTGTTCTGCCCAAGTTGGAGTCTTGGAACAGTAGACCATACTGGTAGATTGTGTGTCCTTGGAATAGTTACTTAATCTCTCTGTGCTTGGGTTTTCTCATCTATAAATTAGAGATAATATCCTCTCTGAAGTTGGTTGTGAAGATGAAATGAGCTACTACGTGTAAAAGAACTCAGAGCCTGGAGTAGCAAACATCCAAACTCTTAGCTATTCATTTGTGCTCGCAACACTTAACAAAAACTGATTATATAGTTGACTACATGGGAAATTGTACTTTTTTTTTAAGAGTAGAGATTTTTAAGGCCATCTTCTGCAAAATCTAACAACAATGGAAATTAATAAAAAGACAACCAAAATATTTTGACTTGGTAATTTAAAAACTCTCACAGAAATCCTGGATAAAAGGAAAAGACTAGAAAGCAGTGAAAATGACTGTCCCATGAGACAGTCACAGCTGCAGCCTTTACCATTATTAGTATGATGGTATGATTAGCATTAATAGCACATTTTTATTTGTGCATTAGTGTGTGTCCTCTGCTAAACTATGATTTTCTGGAAAGCAGGAGCTGAATTTTATTTACTATGGTATCCACCAAGCTGTTTTGCACTCAGCTTCTCAGACATTGAATGCTGCTTTTCTCTCCTCCTCCATAGAATTTGTTGTACTTACTGAATAAATTAATTTTTCCTTCTTTTCCAGATGACTTTAACATTTTATATTTTTTCTTTCTTGTCCACAATATTAACTTTTTACTATATAATTATACTTTCTTAGTATAAAAAGTTAAAAGTAATATATAGAAATAGGGGGGAAAGTAAAAACTACCTGAGATCCCATCACCATTGGAAATTTGGTGATTGTCCTGTCGGTGCATTTCTTTGTATGTTATATAATGTTATATAAATGCGATCACCTCACACATTTTTATAAAATATGAAAAACATTTTAAAATATGTTTTCTTAACATGTATTGGATAACTTCCCTCTACCTGTTTCCCTCTCCAATGTCTTTACTGATGACGTGTTGTACATCCTCCAAAGCTTTCTCTATGTTCATATAATCACATGCAAACATGCACACACATATAGAGACTGTTCGTTGTACAAAAACAAGATCCTGTAATGCATATTTCTCTACTTTGTTTCTTATTAACAGCAATACAGCACAGAGGTCCTTCTAGGTCGTAGGTATGGATTAACTGCTTTTCAAGGCTGCCTACTAATTCAGGTTATGGATAATGTAGTTTATTCACCCATTCACGTATTGATGGTAATTCACTTTGTTTCCAGGTTTTTGCCATTACAAACAATGCTGTGGTAAGTGCAGTAGGAGACTTTGAACATACATTACGTAATCACGTGCCTTTCTTTGGGACAGATTCCCAGAAGTGGGGCTGCTACATTGAAAGGCTTTTTAAATTTTTCTTGAAAGGGATACAATTTTAATAGATAACTGAATGTTTTTCCAAAAAAGAACTCACAGTAGGTGTTAGTACTATTTATTTATTGCAATTTGATGGTTACTTAAAGATTTCTCATTATCACCTTAATTTGCAGTTCCCTGTTTGGGAGGTTTGGTACCCTTTGATGTTTTCTGGCTATTTGGAATTACTCTTCTTAGACTTGCCTATTCATAGTCTTTGCTCATTTTCTATTATTTTTGTGGTATTTCTACCTATACATGGGGAATCTATTTCCGGACGCTATTTTGTTGCACTGATCTGTCTTTCCTACAACAATATCACATTGTTTCACTGTTGTATCTTTTATACTGTGTGTATTATCTGCAAAGGCAAGCTCCTCCTCAACCTCGTTTACAAGTTTCCCCACTATTTCCTAGT